TATATATATATGTATATATATATATATGGTGTACAACCAAGCAAAGGTGTGAAACACCAAAGAGTACCAAAACCTGTGAAAACTGTGAGTCACCGAAACCACATTTTCCAGCTACACCTTCGCGGTGGCATGTCAGATGTTAAAGTAGTGTTTCTACAGTATGCCACTGTTAAAATCTATGAAAACATCAAATAAGTGTGCTGTCAAAAAAGTATGTAGATTACTATAACTAACTGAGCATGACTCCAACTTAATGTAAATGGATATATGTATGTATAGAAATACTCTCACTGTACACAGTGTTTTTAAATACTAAATCCATGTATTTATAAAAACACTACAAATTAAGTCTTACTACATGATTCTTCTCCTCATATCTAGCAGAGGACAACAGTTTTCAAGTCAAATCTAGTGGCTTTATTGTGATTTCAACCATGTGCAGTGGTACAGGACACGGTGAAGTGAGACAATGTTCCTCCAAGACCATGGTGCTACATATAATATATTACATAACGGAGAATCAACACAGCACTACATATAGTGAGAATGTGCACAAATTGCAAAAAAACAAACAAACAAAGACAGTGCAACACCAGACAGAACAGAAGACACAAGAGGGTGTAGACACAACAGTGCAACAGAAAAGTCTTTTAACATTGCTACAGTATGCTCTCTCTATCAAGCCTCTTTCCTGTTATTTCCTGCTAGTATATTACATTTGAATGTGTAGTTGCTTCTAGAAGTTTGAGATGAACAGCTGAAGCACTTCAAAAATGGACACAGTGCAATAAGTACACATATTAGAGATTTATTTATTTATTATTTATTTATTTCACTTCCTAGTGCCCAAGAAGAAATGTAGAAAATTTGAGAGAGAATATTTTCACAACATATTTTCAAGTTTTAAAAATTTTTTTATAAAGCATGTCATAGCCTGAAGAGAAGAAGAGAAGAGCAGAAAATTCCTCAGTGATCATTTTGTAATGTAATGTAATCGTTTTAAGGGGGCAGTTTGCCTGTTTTATGCATCACCTTGCAATCTGTAAGTGATTTTCATTTAACACTTCCTATCTTTCTCTCCTCTCAAATTTTTGCTGCACATTTATCTCTTCTAAATAGACACGTGTGTGTGTGTGTGTGTGTGTGTGTGTGTGTGTGTGTGTGTGTGTGTGTGTGTGTGTGTGTGTGCATTTGTATATGTGTGTGTTGAAGGTGTGAAACATGTCTTAGCGTCAAAAATCATCATCATTTTTACAATCGAAGATGCTAGTGTAGTGACAGTATCTTACTGTTGAATTTGACCGTCATGAAGAAACAATGTGCAATGACAATAAAGTTGAATTCTAAACTATGTTTTCTAAAATAAAAAAAATAAAAAAAAAATAAAAAAATATATCTTCCAGGTTAAGAAATCCTAAGGAGTCATTAACATGCAGATTGTCATGTCCATTGATCAATGGCCATTAGTACCATTGATGGAGTGTTGGGCAGTCACAGCATTGTAAGATGCTCAAAGATGATCTATCACCATCTGACAAGGCTGTGATTGCCCAACCCTCTGCAGCAGAGTTGTCTGTATACTATTGGAGTTCCTCTGCTCTTTGACCATCACAGGACCATCACATACTCTGATTTTTGGTGGAAAGCCTCTGTCCTAAGGACATGAACAGGTAAAGCACAGCAAAAATAGACACATAGTATTGCACACAATGCACTTTTAATTATATATTTATTCTCTTTTACGTCTGCTGTAATTCACTGATGAGTTTCATATTATGTTTAAAGCTCTGTCTGGAGTGATTTAAAAATGCTCCCCACTATCTCTAAAGATCACAAAAATAATTGTTTTATTTGGATATTTAAAAAAATAGCAGTAATCAGCTGTCTCATTCTGTAGTTATGGATATTGCAAATGATGGAGGTTTTATTATTAATTGTGTCAACATCCACAATATAATTCAAACATTTAGCAAGTCTTTTTGCTGAGAATGTCTTTAATCCAGGGCAGGAATTTTGAAATATCTGTATAGACGTTGGGGACATCAGGATAGTCACATTTTTTGCCATTGTTAAAGGAAACAATTCCAACTGCCATCTTCTTGTCACATACCAGAGGACCCCCAGAATCACCCTGTGAGAAAAAAATATCTTTATTTGATTTAGTTTAACAATTATGATGTTTACACTATAGTTAATATAAAAATACCTGACAAATTCCTTTATTTTTGTAGTATCCTCCTGCGCAGATAACATTATCAGGAATACTATTTTGCCAAATCCTCTTACACTTCTCCAGGTTAATGATGGGAACATCCACCACTTGCATGCTATCAACAGTTTCACCACCACTTTTTGTGGCTCCCCATCCAGCTACTGTGCAGGTTTTGTTTTCTTTTAGGTTTATTTGTTGAGTTGGAAGTTGAATTGGCTTAATTGGTCTTTTTTTGTCCAGGTAAACTTTCTCAGACAGCTATAGACAAAAAAAAAAAAAAGGAATACATAAAATCAAAAATGAAATTTTCTGATTAGTCAGTGCTGATGAATTGAGATCTCCAAATATATCATACATATCATATCAACATATAATACTGTAATAAATGAGTTGATGAATACTGATGTTAAACAGTTATTTACTTACTTTGAGAAGCATGATATCATTTCCAGATTTAACATTCTTGTAAGAAGGATGCTTGCACTTCTTTTTTATTTGATATATCATGGTCTTCTCAGCTTTCTTGAGATTGTGGGTGCCCAGAACAACATTTCTAGGTTTCCTGCATTGATAATAATTAAGAAGTCTGCAGAAATATTCATATTTAGGTGATGAACAGATTCCTTGTAGGATCTTCGTAACTTACCAATCATCACAGTGTGCAGCAGTCAATACAAAGTCTTCACTGACAAGGAATCCTCCACATACGTGCCTTATCGTGTCTTGCACTGATGCCATATACAGCATTGAACTCTTCTTGGCTTTTTTACCTTTTATGATTTCACTCCCCTTTGCTGGTGAAACAAAAAAAATGACGAGCAATTATCTCACACGTTTTAAAAAAACAGATAAGATACTGAAATCTTACCATTTTGTTGGAGACAAATCATTGCTAGGAAGAGCAGAAACAGTTGCAGAGTGTGCATTGTGCCTGAGAAATGCAGTTGTTTAGGGGGGCAGACGACTACTTCATGCATCACCTTGCAGTCTGTCTGTGGTTTTCATTAACAACACATCCTGTGTATCTGTCTTCTCAAACTTTTGTCAGACATTTATCATTGCAGTCTTTTTTTTTTTAGATTCTTTTTGTGGTTTTATTTTGATCTTTAAAGTCCTGTACCCTCAATATTAACTGAACTTACATTACAGTTTTTTCTGATTGCTTAAGCACATTTTTTGTAACTATTGGCTAATTTTGCAAAACTCTTCACACAAATAAGAAAACCTGTCACCCAATAATCAAAACATTGTAGTTCTCTTGCAAAAGCAAACACAGCTAGATTAACTCTTCACACCTTCGTAAAAATGGTGTTTCCGTATCAAACAGTACACACAAGCCATCATATACTAAGCACACAATGCGCCAACTGCACACTGATGGTATGAATACAAAACACATCTGGCTTTTGCTTTCTCTGTGCACAAGGTAGGCTATGTCAGTTTGAGCTCATACTTCTGTCATAGATCCATAAGCATAGAGGGATCCAAACTTCAAGTACTGGTGTTTATTCAAACACATCAAAACAAACACAAGTGTTTATTTCCAAGTATAGGATTATTTGCAATCGCCATGATGACTATATGGGTTACTTGGTCTGCAGTGAACATGCTTCCTCTGCCCCAGCATCTGGTCATCTAGCAATTCTGTAAAGTAACAATTTCAGTATTTTCACATCTATGGTATCGGTGTGTTTCTCATTGGCATATGGCAGTGCTACAAATCTTTGTGCGAAGTGACTGTACTAACCGATTCTCATTTCAAGATGTCCTTATGATGCTTGCTACAGTGTAGCGGCTCGAGTTAGGCTGGACCCGTTGGCCAGCTACCCTCAGGGTCATTCCACGGTTGATTACATGGTCCACTATTGTAGCTCTGATGTCATCAGCAATTCTATTTCTTACTCTTCCTACCCTTCCTCTCCCCCCTCCTCATCTTCCTCTCCCCCCTCCTCGTCTTCCTCTTGCTCCTCCTTGTCCTTGTCGTCCTCTTCATCCTACTTCTTCACCTCCACGTCCTCTTCCTCGGCCTCCTCTACTTCTCACTCTTTCTGCTCCCTCCATTGTACTCCGCACACACAGCTTACCTGTATCATAGTGCTTAGGCTGCTTGCAAAGTGAACTAATTATCTAGAAAAGTTTTCACATGTGAAAGTGTGCCAGACAGTTGGCAAATTAGTGTTAATGATAGCCATACATGTGTATACTTTTGCTAGGAGTGTGTTGGAAATTTGGTAATTGAGTGTTGTGCAGTGGGTTGTGCCTACAGTTTTGCAAAGTGTGTGTTACAAAATTGCAAACTGAGTGCAAAGCAGTTTTTGTGCTTTTAGTTTTGCAAACTCAGCGAGTGGTTTTGCTATAAGTCTGAATAGTTTTAGAGATTGTGCTACAGGAATCACAGTTAGGGTTTAAGCATTCAGAAAAAACTGTAAATTAAGTAAAAAGTATTCTGATTCTCTCTTTGTCATTTTTTCTAGCAGCATGAAAAATCACACCTTTAAAGCTGTGAAATGTACAAGAGCTGTTGACGTTTTTTTCTTTTCCAGCAGCAGCTTTGCAATTACGGGAGTTGAAGAGGTCTAGCTGTTTAAAATGTTACTGTTTGGTTTGATTCAAATAAGTGATTCTAATTATGTTGATTACTATTGTGAGTGATGCAGACTTAATGCAAACACATACACATTGCACCTGATAGAGTGCTTTCAATTACTAAAAAAATATATTTATAAATATGTCACACATTTTTGCATTTTATGTCACAAGTTTTATTAAATTATGCTTCCTCTCCCCATAGTGTTGTTGCTCAGTACGTCATGATATGTTGCAGAGGGCAGCAGAGTTCTCTATAAAGCTTTTAGAGAGGCTTATAGGGAACTGTAAAAGTGGACAGATAGCGCAACCATCAGAAGGTTGCTGGCTCAATCCTCGGGGTTTTCATCAACAGGACTTCCTTTCTATTTCTTTTCTTTACACATTCATTTATTTATGACTCTTTTTATAGTTTTATTTTGGAGTTTAAAGGGAACTCTGGACCTCTCACTACCAAGTGAACTGATGTTTAATGAGGTTTAAAAGTGCAACTGCTCGCCTTTTTTCTTGTTTTCTGTAGCTGTGAGAAACATCACACTTTGAAAAACTGTGAAAACTAAATGAGTCACTAAAGTCACAGTTTCCAGCCACACCTTTGCACAGATATTAAACTAGTTAAACTAGTCTGTCTTTTCAAAACGTGGTGCAAAATTCAAATAAAAGTAAGTACAGTAAGTAAAAGTCAGTAAGTAAAAGTCAGTAAAGTTTACTGCAATTTCATTCATTTGTAGGGCTGTCAAGCAAATACACATACAGAGATATATTATATACACACACTGAAATATTTACACTGCACCTTATCAATCAATCAATATACATCACAAATCAGTCTTATTACATATACTTGGTTTACAGATATTGTTCTTCCAATATCTGCAAACCATCAAATGTCATATTCTACATGTGTACAGCTCAACTGTTGCTAAATACATCATAATTTTGAGCATAAAAAAAGTTCATAGGTCACTAAGCTTTTGAGCTGCTCTGCTCTCTGACCATCAGAGGGAGCCATACATCCATCACTATAAAAGTGATGGA